CATATACATAGCATAATATCATTCTGATGTAGTCACACAATGACTAAAATCATATTAGATAGAATAATAATAAATAAGGCTAATTAACAAATAACACGAGAGTTATAGATTTACTAGAGTCCTGGTACACGAATTTGTGCACAAGTGGGGTCCCTCGGCCTGGCCGGCGATCAGAGCCAATTGGGTTGTCTCACCCAGTCTGAGGGCAGGGACCACGGGAGGTTGGCTGGCCACGGGAGGTGGGCTGTGGGAGTGTACTGACCACCAGGGGCAGCTCCTGCGTTGAGCATTTACCTCTTGGTGGTCAGTGCACATCATAGCAACCGACTGGTCGTTCAGTCATTTGGTTGTTCTGTTGCTTAGGCTTTTATATATGCACCTTAGTAATCATTTAGTCCAATCCCTATATGTAACGAATGTGAAGATAAGAGGTTACTTACGTAGCATATTCAAAGTCAGGGTGCTGGAGACCATTTAAAACTTACACACAATTTTTATTTCATGCCTGTCTTTTCCCCTTTAATGCTGACAAAACTTGGCATTAAAATTTTTAGTTCTTGTTGGAATCTCCAGTTTAGAAATTATACAAATGAAATAATTTGATCTGTTCTTAAACCATTTATAGTGGGCCAAAGAAATACAACATGGTTATTTACTGACAGCTTTTTTTCCTTTTCTTTTTGTCTAATGTGTATTTGATTTATAAAGAACATAAGAATTATTGAACTCTAAATGGCAAAGAAGGAAACTCCTACTTTAATAGGAAGAAGCTAGATTTGTATTTTACTTTAGTTTTTTTTTTTGTATTTTACTTTAAAGAAGTAAACTTTTGTGTTCTATAATTAAACTAGACCTTGCCTTGATTTTCTGGCATCAATTCAGTGTTCTAGTCCTCGTTATGGATCTGGACCACAAAGGTTGAGGACAGTGTTCTTAGAGAGATAAAAGAGACTGCTCATGCCCACAGGGTATGCACTAAGACTAGGATCTCCTTGCATTTATCTTCATTGCTTTTCTCTAATTTATGACCAGTGGGTCATAGAAGGTCTTATTATGTAGAGCAGACCCTCAAATACTATCCTATATAATAAAATCGACCAAACAGCAGAATGACTGGTCGCTATGACACACACTGACCACCAGGGGGCAGACACTCAATGCAGGAGCTGCTCCCAGCCCGCAGGCACCAAGCTGGCCAAGGCGGGTGCCAGTGGGGGCCCCCCAATCGCCCCGCCAGTCTCCCCACAGATTGGCCCTGATTGCCAGCCCAGCCTAGGGACCCTACCCATGCACAAATTTTGTGCACCAGGCCTCTAGTCTCATTATAACCATGATGAGGGGGGAAAATCTGATTCCTGGCCAGGGTCACTGTCTGTGTAGAGTTTGCACATTCTCCCCATGCCTACATAGGTTTCTCCAAGCACTCTGGTTTTCTCCCACATCCCAAAGATGTGCCTGCGAGGTGAACTGGCGTGGCTACATTGTCCCAGTGGGTGTGAGCATAGGTGCATGTAAGTGGCCAGGCAATGGAAGGGAGTCCTGTCCATGGTGGATTCCTGTCTTACCAGGGCTGCCAGAACAGGCTCTTGCCACCCAAACCTGAACTAGAATAAGTGGGTTGGAATAGAATTATTTTACTTGTTTTTTGTGTTGTTGTTTTGTTAATCCTCACCGGAGGTTATTTTTTCCATTGATTTTTAGAGAAAGTGGAAGGGAGGAAGGGGGAGAAAGAAACATCAGTGTGAGAGAGACACATCAATTGGTTGCCTCCTGCATGCACCAGGGGATCCTACAACCCAGGTATGTTCCCCTAACCAAGAATGGAACCTGTGACACTCTAACTACTGAACCACACTGGCCAGGTACTTACTTGTTTTTATTCATCTTTTTTAAATGTATGTTTAGCTGACATTTATTTCAATGTTTAATATTAGAAGCTTTTCAGGTCCTAGCTGGTTTGGCTCAGTGGATAGAGCATCCGCCTGAGAACTGTAGGGTCCCGTGTTCAATTCTGGTCCAAAGCATGTACTCAATTGCAGGCACTCAATCCCTGGCCCTGGTCGGGACCATTCGGGAGGCAACCAAGTGATGTGTCTCTCTCACATTGATGTTTCTCTCTCTCTGTCACTCCCCTTTTTCCCTTTCCACTCTCTCTCTCTCAAAAAAAAAAAAATCAATGGAATAATATCCTTAGGTGAGAATTAACCAAAATAACAAACAAACAAACCAACAAACAAAAAAGAAGTGTTTCGGGTCTTTATTTAGAAGTTTGGTAATGTTTTCGTGACTGTGCCATGGGAACTTAACTCTTATTTATATCAATTTTGCCTACGGCAAAATTGGTTTCATTATACATCATTTTGCTGAAAGTCAGATTCCAAGAACCTATCAATGATGTGAAGTGGGGACTTATATACTTATTTTTACTAAGCTGTGTCTTGTGAAGCATAGTGATTTAGAGCAATGGCTCATAAGTCTGACCTCCAAGGACAGAATCTTAATCCCATCCACTTCCTAGTTGTGTGACCTTGGCATGGCATGTAACCTTTCCTGAGCCACAGTTTCTTCATCTGAGAGTGAAGATAACAATAGTACCTACCAATTAGGATAACAATATATTGTGATGATTAAATGAGATAATCTATATAAAACATTTAGTCCTGACAAAGGGAAAAGGAGCCTCTGAGAGTCTGAAATTGGCCTGGCTCCATCAACTGGGCCTACCTGTTGATAGGAGCTGCCCTGGCTCTCACTGTCAGGCCACGTGGTTCTCCTGTTGAATATAAATCAGTCCACAGCACACCAGCATCAGACGAGGCCACTCAGTAACCCTGAAGGATAAAAACAAAACCCTTCTCTGTAATCATGTCTGAACTCAGACAAAATCACAAAGATTGTCCAAACCACAAATGACTAAATACTTCCCTAACCTAGTTAATCTGAGTGACTGCTGCTTCTTTACCAATTAATACCATTAACTTCCCTTTTTCCTTATACCTCTACATAAAAATGATAATTACCAATCATAGAATTTGTCAAGTGCTCAGAAGAGCTGGAGAGAGTCCTGGGCTGTCAGGTGTTAAAATAGGCAATTAAAGTAACAACAAGCCAAAACTGGGAGATAACAGTGAAGCCTCTAATCCAGCGGTTCTCAACCTGTGGGTCGAGACCCCTTTAGCGGTTGAACGACCTTTTCACAGGGTCGCTTAAGACCATCCTGCATATCAGATATTTACATTACGATTCATAACAGTAGCAACATCACAGTTATGAAGTAGCAACAAAAATAATTTTATGGTTGGGTCACAACATGAGGAACTGTATTTAAAGGGCCAGAAGGCTGAGAACCACTGTAATCACTAATTGCAATTGCATAAGCAAGAGTCCAAACATGGTGAAAGCACTGACTCCCGCTGTTCCATTACACCCATGGAATGGCATGTTAGTTGATGGTCAATGGACTGGCACAAACATGGAGGTCTGGAGGTCTCCATGAAGGAGATTGGAGTAGAATTGTTTTACTTGGTTTTTGTTGTTTTTTTAATATAAAATTTAAAAACAATACAAAAGGCTCCTGCAGATTTATGTAATTGGGGGTTGGGTTGGGGGGGTTGGAGTGGAAAAGTACTAGGTGCTAAGTCAGAGTGGGAAAATTTCTGAGTAAGGAGACCTCCAAATAGAGAGGGAGGGTGAGAAGGGGGCAAGAGGGACCTGCATCCTTGACTGCAACTTCCTTCAGAGACTGCCATCCATCGGCTGGGTACACCAAGTCTAGTGTGGAGAGGGCAGTTTTTCCTTGTGAAGCCTGCCAAGTAAAGCCTTGGTAATTGCTTATGGTCAGGTCTGAAAAATCACACATGGGTTTTTAATGAGGAACCTTATTCATCAGAATTATCCCTATTTCCACTCTCCCCAAATCATATTATAAAGCCCAAATCCTATAATAAATGTTACTTCTAATACCCTCTTAGTGAGACATCTCCCAAGTTTCAGTCATCACGTGACTACAGGAGTGTTCTGGTGGTAAGAGAATGCTCCATAAATACCAGGAGGGGCAAAAGTAGGATTACAGTTGTATGAGAAACACAGAGTTTACTCTTGTATTACTATGTATTCATTATTGTATTATTTTCCATAGAAACAACTATAAACCTACTTTTGCTCCAGCCTGTATTAACTAACACAGCTACATTTCTCATAACCCTGTTCAGAACCATTCATCCTCTACTGTCTATACATCAACATAGTGACCTTTATCCAATTTTTCCAACATGATCTACTTCCTTAAACAATAAGGCCTTGAATGAACGCTTTCTTCTACCTGCTGAGACTGGATATACAAATGGACAATGGCCTGACCATAAAGATAAAAATAGGTCTCTGGCACTGGCCGGGTACCTCAGTTGGTTGGATTGTCTTCCCGCACATCCAAAGGTTTCAGGTTTGATTCCCAGTCAGGGCACATACTTAGGTTGCAGGCTCGATCCCCGGTCAGGGTGCATACAGGAGGCAGCCGATAATGTTTCTCTCTCTCTCCCCCTTCCTCTCTCTCTAATATCAATAAAAACATATCCTCAGGTGAATATTTAAAACAAATAGAACTCTGATCCACAATCTGCAGCAACCAATCCAGGAAACCAACCTATTATTCTATTGTAACTAGCCTGGGGAGCCTTCTATAAGTCAAACTTGTAGGAAGTTCGACTGCTAGCACTAGCAACAATTCAAGAAGCCAAACACTAATCCCTATCCCTATAATAATTGTCCCAAAATAACAGTTTTCCTAATTTTTTCCATGCTTACAATTTAGGACCAACTAAAGAAAACTAAATATGCACCCCTAACCAATATGATAGGATGTCACACTTCTAAGTAGAACAGGGGTTCAGAGCATGCCACCCCAAAATTGGCCACTTTGCATATTAATTATTTTGAGTTAAAGGCATTTGGAAAATGGCAGATGCAAGAAGAGCACTCTGATCTTCCTTTTTCTTCCTCAGAGCAGGAGATAAAACTCCCATCTGAAAGGTGCACCTCCCTATGCCAGGAGGAAGGAAGACATTCTTACCACCAGAAATGAGGACTCAAGGCCAAGATAAATCTGTACAAAAAACCTTATTAAACTAACTTTTATCTTCCTAGTCACTTTTCCACAATTAACTGCCCTAGCCCAAACCCCTCTGTCATTTTACATTTTCACAATTTACTATTCTTTGTCCAACCCAGTATATAAGCTTTGGGCCCTCACTTCTTTGGCTCTTAGTTTTTCTTGTAAAGGCTCCCATGTACATCTATCTATATATATAAACGCCTAAGCAACCATTCAACTGGTAACTATCACACGCACTGACCACCAGGGGGCAGACGCTCAATGCACAGGCATGGAAACATGGAACAGACTGATGAATCTCAGAGGGAAGGGAGGAGGGGGGAGGGCGGGAAGACATTAACCAAAGATCTTATATACATACTAGAGGCCCGGTGAACGGATTTGTGCACCAGTGCCTCGGCCTGGCCTGTGGGGATCAGGCCCAAACTGGCTCTCCAACATCCCCCAAGCAGTCCCGGATTGAGAGAGGGAGCAGGCCAGGCCGAGGGACCCTGCCAGTGCATGAATCCGTGCACCAGGCCTCTTGTGTAAAAATAAAATTTGTATGCTTTTCTTCTGTTAATCTGTCTTATGTCCATTTGATACTTCGGCCTACACAGACAGCGTAAGAGGATAGAAGAGAAGAAATTTTACTTCCCCTACAGTAACCCACCTATAGCTTCCTTATGCCAATAGCTTACAACTAGGGCATACCTGAAGCCTTCTCTTTTTTCCAGTATAAAGCTTTCCAACTCCTCTTCCTGCTGTGAATCTCTGCCAAAATACAAGTAGTAGAGGCTGACTCCCTTCCTCTAGCAAACTCTGAATAAATAGCCTTTGCTTATTCTTACTCCTTGGTCTTCATTTGTTTCCACACTGCAAGGTTCTTCCCTGCCCCATCCCCTCAAAACTTTCCTGATAGAGGATCTACCTAAAACATAGTCACAAACCCAAACAGATAACCAAAATGAAGAAACAAAGAAACAACCCTCAAATGAAAGAATTGAAGAATTCTCCAGAAGAAGAGATAAATGAAGCAGAGATAACAAATTTATCTGAAAAAGAGTTCAGAGTAATGATGTTAAAAATGCTCAACAGTATGAAAAAAGATATAGTAACTATGAAAAAAAGAACAGTCTGAGATAAAGAATGATATAACACAAATAAAGAACACATTGGAAGGAATACACAGCAGATTAGGGGAAGCTGAGGATTGAATCAGTGAATTAGAAGAAAGAGTTGAAAATATCACTCAATTAGAGAACCAAAAAGAAAAAACAATTGAAAAACAGGAGGATAGCTTAAGGGAACTGTGGGACAATGTGAAACGTAACAATATTAGAATAGTAGGTGTGCCAAAAGAGGCAGAAAGGGAGAAAGGAATAGAGAAAGTGTTTGAAGAAATAATGGTAGAAAACTTCCCTAACCTGGTAAAGGGAAAAGTCACACAAGTTCAGGAGGCACAGAGAACCCCAAACAAGAAGAACGCAAACAGACCCATGCTCAGACACATCATAATTAAAATACCAAAAATTAGCCGAAACCGGTTTGGCTCAGTGGATAGAGCGTCGGCCTGCGGACTGAAAGGTCCCAGGTTCGATTCCGGTAAAGGGCATGTACCTGGGTTGCAGGCACATCCCCAGTGGGAGATGTGCAGGAGGCAGCTGATCGATGTTTCTCTCTCATCAATGTTTCTAACTCTCTATCTCTCTCCCTTCCTCTCTGTAAAAAATCAATAAAATATATTTAAAAAAAATAAATAAATAAAATAAAATACCAAAAATTAAAGACAAAGAGAGAATCTTAAAGGCAGCAAGAGAAAAGAAAACTGTTACCTGCAAAGGAGTTCCCATAAGGCTGACACCTGATTTCTCATCAGAAACTCTACTTGTCAGAAGGGAATGGTATGAAGTACTCAAGGTAATGGAAAGTAAGGATCTGAGACCAAGATTACTATATCCAGCAAGGCTATCATTCAAAATAGTCAGTCAAATAGCTTCCCAGACAAACAAAAGGCTAAAGGAATTCATCACCATCAAGCCAGCATTACAAGAAATGCTAAAGGGATTGCTGAGAAGAAGAAACAGAGAATCCTAGCCATAAAGAATTAAAATGGCAATAAATAAGTACCTCTCAATAATAGCCCTAAATGTAAATGGATTAAATGCTCCAATCAAAAGGTGTAGGGTAGCTGAATGGATACAAAAACATGACCCAACTATATGCTGTCTACAAGAGACCCACCTCAAAACAAAAGACACACACAGGATGAAAGTGAAGGGACAGAAAAATTTTTTCCATGCAAATGGAAAAGAAAAAAAAGCTGGAGTAGCAATACTCATATCTGACAAAATAGACTTTAAAAGCATCATGCTAAGTGAAATAACCAAGTCGGAGAAAGATAAATACCATATGATCTCACTCATTTGTGGAATATAAACTGATGAACAAAAATAGGGCCAGAGGGGGAAACATATTCTAGAATATAATAGAAGTAATCCTGTTATTTGCAGATTTTTTAAAAATTATTATTGTTTAATATGTTTTTATTGATTTCAGGAGAAAGGGAGAGGGAGTGAGAGAAACAGCAATGATGAGAGAGAATCATTGACTGGCTGCCTCCTGCATGCCCCCTACTGGGGGTTGAGCCCACAACCTGGGCATGTGCCCTTCACTGGAATCGAACCCGGGACCCTTCAGTCCACAGGCTGATGCTCTATCCACTGAGCCAAACCGGCTAGGACTATTTGCAGATTTTTAATATTTCCAACAACTTTTGTGCTATCATACTATGTTAGTACAGTTTTGGTAATATTATTATACTTAAAATCCTTTTATTCTTTTTTTTTTATTGATTTCAGAGAGGAAGGGAGAGGGAGAGAGAGAGATAGAAAGATCAATTATGAGAGAGAATCATTGATTGGCTGCCTCATGCATGCCCCTTACTGGGGCTCCAGCCGGCAACCGAGGCATGTGCCCTTGACTGGAATCGAACCCGGGACCCTTCAGTCCATCAGCATAGACTCTATCCACTGAGCAAAACCAGCTAGGGCAAAATCCTTTTATTCTTGAAATATTCATGTTTGTTGCATGTAATATTATTATATGTAGATCATTTTTTGTAGGGAGTGGCTATAGAGTTAAGCCTCGGACTGACCTGTTGGCAAAGCCACGAACAAGTCCCAGCTTAGAGGGTACAGCCCTCTTAGCATTGGGCTGCAGGAGGTGCAGCAAGTGCTGCCAAAACAAGTGAAACTCACAAGAACATTGTAACTATGGTGACCACTATCTTGTTTACCTCTGCCTATAAAATAAAGTCTCGGCTTGCCTCTGGATCTCTCTCTTAGCCAGGCACAGGAGTCCACCTAGACCAGCCGTGGGCAAACTACAGCCCGCGGGCCGGATCCGGCCTGTTTGAAATGAATAAAACTAAAAAAAAAAAAACAAAAACCGTACCCTTTTATGTAATGATGTTTACTTTGAATTTATATTAGTTCACACAAACACTCCATCCATGCTTTTGTTCCGGCCCTCCGGTCCAGTTTAAGAACCCATTGTGGCCCTTGAGTCAAAAAGTTTGCCCACCCCTGATAGACCCAGCTTATTCTCTTTGTCTGTCTCTTCTTTAATCCTTTGCCGCTCCTCCTCAGGCTCATCGAACCCTTGGCTGTGTTGGCCCAGCACGATTTTTTAAAAAAATATATTTTATTGATTTTTTTACAGAGAGGAGGGGAGAGGGAAAGAGAGCTAGAAACATCCATGGGAGAGAAACAACAATCAGCTGCCTCGTGCACACTCCGCACTGGGGATGTGCCTGCAACCAAGGTACATGCCCTTGACTGGAATCGAACCTGGGACCCTTCAGTCCGCAGGCCGACGCTCTATCCACTGAACCAAACCAGTTAGGGCAAGATCATTTTTCTTGAATAATTGGTGTTTATTGCATGTAACATTATATTTAAAATAGTTTTTCTTGAGATATTAATGTTTATTGCATGTAACATTGTTATATGTAAGATCTTTTTTCTTGAAATTAAAAAAAAACTTTCCTTAATAGTACTTACCTCAGTTATCTTTTAGAATTCATTTGTATCACTGTTTGATAAACAGCTCCTTGCCCACTACACTGTAAGCACCATGAGAGAAGAAGCTCACCACTGTAACTCCCAATGCCTACCACAGTGCCTGGCACATAATTGAAAACTGATACATATCAATTGGATAACTGGGTTAATTAAAGTTTAACGGCAAAAAGAGGCAAATGAAATTTTAGATTGTGGCCAAGGCAAAAAGAACTGAGAAAGTATAATTAGACAGGAGAAATTCTAGTATAGTAGATCTTAAAGAATAGGGAGGGAAAGGATAAAATGAATGGGCTAAGCTTTGTTTCTCTCTTGGATGTTGCTTAAAATGTCAATTTCAGAGCCCCACCATATCCAATCAACAGAATAAGACCTCTCTTTCAGATAATTCTTTTTTTGTTTTGTTTTTTGTTAATCCTAACCCCAGGGAGAGTGTAAGAGAGAGGGAAAGATAGAGAGAAACATCAACGTGAGAGAAACATATTGATTGGTTGCCTCCTGTACACTCCGGACCAGAGCCTGGGCCAGGGAGGAGCCTGCAACCAAGGTACATGCCCTTGACTGGAATCAAATCTGGGGCTCTTTGGTCCACAGGCCAACACTCTATCCACTGAGTCAAACCGGCTAGGGCTCAGATAATTCTTATACACATTAATGTATGAGAATAACTGAGCTGCTTAAGGGGATATAAAACACAAGGACAAATTTTGCACTTAGCTCTGCAAGGATGACTTAACAGATGCCACCATCATCAATAAACAGCTGCTGAGTGTTCTGTTCACCCAAACCTAATATAAGTACTATAGCCAAACACTAATGTAAGAAACGAAAAAAATTCAATTTTAAACTGAGAAGTAACTGGAATCTTTGAAAATAGGGCACCAGAAATAGTTCAGAAATTTAGGAATAGTTCCTCTTAGGGAGAGGATTTAAAAAGTTATTCTAGTTTTAGAAGCTTAACTTTCCAACA